GCTGGCCCTCCTGCCCTGGATCCGACTCCAGTCCCTCCAGGGCTGCCAGTGGGAGCCTCCGCTCTCTCCAGAACCTTCGCTGTCAGCCACAAGCCCTGGGGAGGAGAACGCAGGAAGGGGAGAGGATGGTAACTCAGCGCCAGGGATCCGGGGAGAACAACAGGTTCAGGGCCACGAGCAGGGATGGGGACAGAAGCCTCCTGTGGGAGTGACCGGACTCGGCCTTGGCCTTGGCTACCTCTCACCTGTCCCATCCAGGGGCTGATCACCTGGCCGGCACGCCACACTGAATGACAGCATCGTCAGCTGTAAGGCAAGGGCAAGGTTAAGGAGATCGTGTGTTACCAGGGAGCAGGTGACACACTGCTCTGTGAAAACCAGCTGCTGCCGCTGAACGTGAGTGGCTCAGCTTATGGAATAGTCTCTCCCAACAGCGTCGTGTTCAGTCTGATCCTCGCAGGGATAAGGATGCTGTTTAGGCATACTATTACCCTCCCCACTTTTTTCTTTTTTCAGGGGGAAGCAGCGAGGGTTCTGAGAGGTGGTCGTATCCTTGCCCGAGGTCACAGTACAGAAGCGCGATGCCAGCCGTGGTTTCATTCGCTCATCGGCAGGCAGCGTGCACTGAGCAGCTCTCCGGGGCTCGGCTCCTGCTTCGAGATCCAGGGATCTGGGCGGTGTCAGAGGAGCCAGACACATTCTCTGCAGTCAGAGGCTCTCAGTCCCAAAGTAGGGAGAGAGGTGTGAACAAGAGAGGGTCCCTGCAGAGAGAGATGCGCTGAGTGCTGAGAGCCTGTCCTCTGGTCTCTGGTTCACTCCCCACTGTGTGACCTCCGGCAAGTGACTTTACCTCTCTGTGTTTCAGCTTCCTCTTCCGTAGCAGAGGGCTGCTGACACACTACTCCTTGGAGTTGCTGGAGCCTTGGGTCTGAGAAAACCCAGGCCAAGCTCAAAGTGCCTGGTGCGGAGCACTGGCCGCCCACGAGCTATCGGTTGCCTGGGCAGTGGGAGAGGACAGCCCGGGAAGGCCGCATGCAGGGGGTGATGTTTGGATCAGGCATTGAAAGGCAAAGTTCCTCTGGTGGGAGGAAGTTAGTCCAGGAAAAGAGAAGACTCTAAACACAGACCTGAAGGGATGGGGGAGCAGGAATCTGCCGGGGAGAGGGCAGCAAACGGTGGAAATGCCAGGGGTGGGGCAGGGCGGGCGCTAAGGGGCCTGTGTACCTGCTCTTCCACTTGCTTCGCCTCAGCGGCTGAGTTCGTCAGAGGAGGGGGCAGGCCCTGGGCCAGGCGTGTGTTTGCATTGGGAAAGTGCCCAGCAAAGGGGCTTAGGCTGGGGGAGCCTGGCCCCAGAGGTCCCAGACACAAGGTCTGCAGCAGCAGGGGTGCGGCTGACGAGGAGACTGTGACAGGTGTCACCTGTCTCTCTTCTGCAGAGACGCTGAATGTGCCCAGCAGCAGGCAGAGCAAGCGCAGAGCCGCTCTGTGCCCGTTGTGCTGGGCGTGCAGGGGCCCTCACACCGGGGACGGAAAAGGAGTCATCTGGATCCCCAGGCAGCGTGGGGCAGGGGCTGGGGCAGCGTGGGCAGGGGGGCTGGGGCAGCGTGGAACAGGGGCTGGGGCAGGGCAGGTGTCCAGGAACACTGGCATCCAACTGAACCATATGGGAACTGGCATCGTCTCTTTCAACAGTTTTTCAAGTTGTAATTGTATCACGATTACACAGCCACGTAGCTCAAAATCGAGTTCTATGGTAAATCTCTAAGTAACAGGTTTGTATTGCAACTCTGTGGGCTTTGTTTTTTCTTTTCACTTTTTATGCACTCTCTAGTATTGTTCCACTATGAAATATTAGAATTTAGGGGCCAGCGCCGTGGCTCACTTGGTTAATCCTCCGCTTGAGGCGCCAGCATCCCATATGGGCGCCGGGTTCTAGTCCCAGTCGGGGCGCCGGATTCTGTCCCGGTTGCTCCTCTTCCAGGCCAGCTCTCTGCTGTGGCCCGGGAGTGCAGTGGAGGATGGCCCAAGTGCTTGGGCCCTGCACCCTATGGGAGACCAGGAGGAAGCCCCTGGCTCCTGGCTTCAGATCGGCGCAGCGCGCCCGCCGTAGTGGCCATTTGGGGAGTGAACCAACAGAAGGAAGGCCTTTCTCTCTGTATCTCTACCTGTCAAATGAAAAAGAAATATTAGAATTTAGCTGTTTTTTCTCTCATTTCCACCGAACACCCATATTTCTCATCCCTCTCGTCCTTTCAATACATTCCTAGAGTAATTTTACTTGGGTAACATTCCATGTTGACATCATTATGACCACAGAAACAGATGAGTCCACACAACAAGCATTGAATTCACTGTTATCCGTGCACAACTTTTTGACTTTATCTTTCTTTGGTTTAAACGTTTGTTACTAATCCATCTTAATCTCTTCAACCTTTCCATTGATTTATCTGTTTTGCTTCATTGCTAGTATTTCAATGCTTTTCTACAATATACTTTTTCTCTCTTTTTTTTTTTTTAATAGATTTATTTGAAAGGCAGAGTTATGGGGGGAGAGAGAGAGAGAGAGAGAGAGAGAGAGAGATCTTCCATTTGCTCGTTCATTCCACAAATGACCACAACAGCCAGGGCCAGGCCAGGCTGAAGCCAGGACTCTACATCTCTATCCAGGTCTCCCACGTGGCTGCAGGGCCCCAAGGACTTGGGCCATCTTCTGCTGCTTTCCCAGGCGCATTAGCAGGGAGCTGGATCAGAAGCGGAGCAGCCAGGACTCGAACCTGCGCCCATATGACCAGACACCAGCCCCTCGGTTGCTACTATTTCACTGCTTTCTGCAGTACATTTTCATTGCCTATGTACACCTTGCAGAGGGTACTTCTTCCACGATCCCTGTCAGTTACAGCGGGGAGGCCAGTGTGGCCAGGGAGGTGGTGAACGAAGGGGATGGCGGAGAAGTCAGAGGGGGCCAGGCAAGTTCCAGGTCCTGCAGCCTTGTGGGTCACAACACAGACTTTAGATCCAATAGAGAGAGACAGGAGCCACTGGTGGGTTTTGAGAAGTATGACAAGATCTCCTTTAACAAAAGAAAAAAATCTTCTATGCTTGTTCACTCCCAAATGACTGCAGTGACCAGGGCTGGGCCAGGCTAAAGCTGGGAGCCAAGAACTCCATCTGGGTCTCCCATGTGAGCGGCAGGGCCCAAGCACCTGGCCATCCTCTGCTGCCTCCCAGGCACATTAGCAGGGAGCTGGCTTGGAAACAGAGCACCAGGACTCCAACTGGCGCTCTGATATGCGAAGCCGGCAGCTTAACAATGCTGGTTCCTGTGATTTTCTTGGAACAGGGTGACTCTGGCTGCTGAATCGAGAAGACTAAAGAGGGACACGAGGGACACGAGGGACGCGGGGGACACGGGAAACACAGGGGACGCGGGGGTAGAAGCTACTGCCGCAGCGCAGGAGAGAGGTGAGGGGGCTTGGACCAAGGTGGGAGTGGGAAAGCGGACAGCTAGGGGTGGCCACTGTGGGATCCCATATCTGAGTGCCCATGTCTGCCTCTCCTTCTGACCCAGCTTCCTCCTGATGGGCCGAGGAGACAGTCGGTGATGGCTCAAATACCTGGGTCCCTGCCACCCACGTGGGAGACCCAGCTTGATTTCCAGGCTCCTAGCCCTAGCTGTTGAGGACATTTTGGGGAGTAACCCAGAAGATGGAAGATCTCTCTCTCTCTCTCTCTCTCTCTCTCTCTGTTATTCTATCTGAATAAATGAATAAATGAAAAAAAAATTTAAAAGACCTGAAAGTGAAGAGTGAGAGTGACTACATCTTTGAGCAGAGCAGGGAGGCTGGAGCTACTAGGAACCCGGATGGGCAGGACCGAGGGGAAAACCAGGCTACCTCTGTCCCAGTTCCTGGGCTGCTGAGCAGAGAGCTGGGTACCCAAGCCTGGGGCTCAGGGAAGCTGAGCCAGCCTGGAGGCGTGAATTTAGGCAGCAGCAGAACAAAGATGCTTGCGAAAACCTTGAGGCCCCCAGGATTCCCAGGGAAGACCTGAGGAGCTCACGCGTGTGGGAGGGAGTGACCCACAGAGTTGAAAGCCGCTGATGGGTGCAGGAAAGATGAGGCCGAGAGGGAGCAAACACTGGTTCCTGCTGGGTCTGCACGGGACAGGCTTCTGTGAGGGTTGTGCAAGGCAACACGGCCAAGCCACAAGACCACTTGAAGGGACCTCACATAGGTCATCTGGCCTGCACAGGAAATACTTGTGGGGCCACTGAGGCCCCCAGTGTGGCCAGGTGAGTTGCAGCTAGCAGGGCTGGGCTGAGAACGCCGGCTGCAGCCGAGCCCCTCCCCTGCCCAGGCCTCCGTGTTCCCGGCAGCGAAATGGGAGCCATCTAGTTTCCCAGGATCGCAGTGGGGTGTGGAGAGGCCACGGACCGGGGCAGGATGGATGCCCTGCCCGGGCTGGTTACAGCAAGAGCAAGGGAAGGAGGCCAGCTTGGACTGGCCGGGGAGGGGGACCCGAGGACGGGGCAGTCCTGTCCTCAGTGTCCGGGGCACGAACCATCCTGGAGTGGACGGGGCTCGGTGGCAGCAGGGTCCTCTGGACGGAGACCAAAGCCTTGGCCCGCCCCCACCGCGCCTCGAACGCGCCAAGGAAGAGACCCCGAGGACCGGGACAGGGCAAAGAAATGGAGACAGAAAGGAAAAGAGACCCGGGCACTCGGAGACCGGGAGACCAAAGAGCCAGACCCAGAACCCGCTGGCCCAGCTGGCGCCCGGAGCGGACCCCGGCCGGCGAGAGCCCCGCACGGCGTGGGGTCCCCGGCGGGCCCGGTGAGGGCGCCCCCGCCCGGGCCGCTCGCCCAAGATGGCGATGGAGGGGCAGGCGAGGCGGCCGCGGCCCCAGCCCCCGCGCCGGCCCCCGCTCGGGCCCGGGCCCCCGAGGCCGCGCCCCCGCCCGCGGCGCCGCGCCTCCCCGGGCCACTGACGCCCGGCGCGCCCTCCCCCCGCGGCGGCGGCCGAGGCGCCGGGAGGCGGCGGCGGCGGCTGCGGCGGCGGCCCGAGCCGGGCCCCATGGCGCGGGGGGACGCGGGCCGCGGCCGCGGGCTGCTCGCGCTGACCTTCTGCCTGCTGGCGGCGCGCGGTAAGGGCGGGCGCCGCGGCGGTGGCGAGAGTGGCCCGCGCTGCGCTGGGCTGCGGGGCTGGCGTGCGTCCCGGTGCGGGAGTGCGCGCGGGGAATCGTAGGGGCGCGGGCTGCGCGTCCAGGCTCCTGCAATGCCTGCGCTTGGGGGGTCTGCGGGCGGCGGCGGGGGCGCGCACTTGTCCGCAGGGTGTGTGTGTGTGTGTGTGTGTGTGCCCTTGGTTCGCAGAGTGTGGCGAGTGTGCGTGCGCGCGTGTGTGCCGAGTGTCCGGCGGGCCGGCAGGTCCCGCGGGCGCACGGTTCCGCAGTGCGTGTCGCGGCCGCAGCGTAGCCTCGGCGGGGCGTCTCGGGCTAGAGAGCGGGCGAAGGGAGGGGAACGGAGCGTGTGACTGCGCCTCCGTTTGTTCGGGGTAGGGGTGTGTGCGGTGGTGTGGATGGCGCTGAGCTAGAATTTGGCCTTGGCTTTCGGGGAGTGTCCTTGCCCCTGGAGAGGGCCGCGAGGGGATCGCGGTGGACCGGGTGGGGATGGAACAGCGCGCAACTTCGCGCGGTGGGTGTGGTCCCTGGCACGGGTTGGGGGTGGGGGAAGGTGTCGCTCCCTTAAGCCTTCGGCCCCGGAGTTGGCTGGGGGAGAACGCAAGAGACCAGTTGCTTTCGTGGACGTGTCGGACGGCGGCTCTCGGGAGGGGACGCGTGTCACTCCGGCCCCACCCCCAGGAGCTGCCGGGGGCTCAGCCAGGCCCCCTGCAGTTCCGCACCCTGGTCCACGCAACTCTGAGAAGGGGCTGGAGGGGAGTGCCTGCGGGTCCAGGAGTGCCGCCGGGGTCCCTTCCTCCGCCCCCAGCCCTCTGGCTTTCGGTCCGGAGTGCGTTCCGGGACCGGCCCGTGGGGAAGGGTCGGTGGCAGGGCCGGGAGGGGGCTGGGCTGCCCGCTTTGTTCGCCTGGTCCTGCCTTCCCCGCCGAGCGGGGCGCTGAGGATGTGTCCGGGGCGAGTCGGGGAGGGACTGGGAGGTGGGGGTGGGGAGGGGGATTTCGCTCCAGCTGCTGCGGCTTTCCAGATACACTCAGCCAGGCCACGTGGGAAGGGAGCAGGAGGGCGGCGGGGGAAGGAGCCTCCGCCCGGCGGGCCCCAGGCCCATCTCCAGGAAAACAGCGGGTGGGAAAGTGCCGGGAACTGGTCCGACCCCCGCGTTCCCTCCGAGGCCACGCCTCTCTCTCTGGCCCCCGCGGTGGAAGGCCTGGCCCGAGGAGGGGGCGGCCCGAAGTTGTCAGGTGAAAGGGGCGGGGAGGTGCCCTAGGGGCGGCCGTCCTCCGAGGCGCGGGGGATTAGGGCAGAGTTGCGCCCTCAACCCTGCTCTGCCCTTCCGAGAGCTGCGGAAGCTCGCGCAGTCACCCGGCCAGCCGAGGTCGGGCTGGGAGCCGCGCGGTGTCTCCTCGGATGTGGTCGGCCCCGCAGGGCTCCAACTTCCCTCTCTGCTCAGGGCAGAGCCGGAGCGGGGTTCCCGCGGGCTGCGGTGCTGGCCCTGGTTCCCCCTCCTTTGAGTGTGCAAAGCTAAGCAGGCCTGGGGCCACTCCTGTCGGATTCTGACCAGCTGCCCCGATGTGGACTGAAGTCATTCATTCATTCAACAAATATTTACTGAGTGCTTTCATAGGTGAGCGTGTGCAGGGTGCCTAGAATACCCGGACTGAGGAGGCGGACCTGGGCCCTGGTGCAGTGTGCAGTCTGGTGTGTGGGGGCGGGGCGGGGGGGGTGGACTGATAAATATACTGCCCTAGGGTGAAAGCTACTGGGGACCTGGGAGAAACCAGTGATGGTGTTGTGAGTATAAGGGGTGGGGGTCGGGCAAGTGGGAGAGGGAATGGGACAGGAGTTGAGGGGTTCCAAGAAGGGAGCCTGAAGGTAAGCCCCCCTCGGGGTTTGGGGCCTGAGAGCCCTTGGTTAGCTCTGCCTCAGCCAACTCCAGCCAGAGGGGAGAATGGGGTGGGCAGGGCTAGAGGCAGGAAGCTCCAGTCCCTTAGGAGGTTGTTGCAAAAGAGGCGATGGTGGCCACTGGCATGGTAGCAGCTGGGGTGGCTGGGGCTAGAGATGGTGATGAATTGGAATCAGTAGAATGGGTTTGGAGGGGGAGAGGGAGAAGGAAGTGAAAAGTAATTTACCTGTCAGCTCCCAAAGGCATCTCTCTCCAGTGAAGTGACCTCCCACTTGGAGCATCCTCCAATGTCAGCGCTGGGAGAGGCTTAGAAATAAATTTGGCATGAGCCCATTTTACAGATGAGAAAACAGAGTGGCTTCTCAACGTTCCATGGTTAGGATCTTGAAGTAGTCTACAGGCTCTGGGGCACCACCGTGCCAGGCTAGAGCAAACACGGTATCCTGGGAGCTGGTGTGCACGTCCTCAAGTTCATCCTCTCTGCACTTCTCTCCAGCAAACAAAAAGCTATCATCCCCGGGCCTGTGCGCTCCGTCCCCAAAATCAGTCAATCTAGGCTCTGGAATCGCCTCTCCCCATCCCCCTCCTGTTCCCTCCAGTGTCCCTGAGGTGCAGCAGCCAGGTTTGACACAGAATTCCAGATGCAGAGCAGATGTAGCCAGGCGGGCCGGGGAGCTCCCTGCTGTCCGCTCTCCGCGGGGCACAGGGAGAAGTGCTGGTGACAGAGAGGAGCCCTGCCTGGTGAGGGCCGGGTGATGGGAACTGGGAGGCCAGGCAGGAAAACCAGAGAGAATGTTCCGGGGCCCCAGCTGCAGAGATACCAGAGCGTGTGTTCTGGGCCAGCTGAGCCGCCAGCCACCACGGCCTCCACTCAGGCTGTGCATCTGGGCACCTCGGGGGCTCACTGGGGTCAGGGAGGATCAGTGAGGCCTCTCTCAGGTGTGGACCTGGGACTCCTAGAAGGCTCAATAAGGGGTTCATCACCTTGTCACGTAATTGGCAGCTCTGGCAAGTATATGCAGGGGGATGCCAGTGGGGATGGGATGAAAGGCAGAGAGAGAGAGAGATCTTCCAACCGCTGGTTCACTCCCCAAATGGCTGCAATGGCTGGGGCTGGCCAGGCGAAAGCCAGGAGCTTCATCCAGGTCTCCCACGTGGGTACAGGAGGCCAAACACTTGGACCATCTTCCGCTGCTTTCCCAGGTGCATTAATAGGGAGCTGGATCAGAAGTGGAACAGCTGGGTGTCAAACCAGCACCCATGTGGGATGCTGGCATTGCAGGGCATGGCTGTACCCACTATGGCACAATGCAGGCCCCCATGTAAATATTTTTAATTATTTAATTAGTTAGAGAGACACAGCTCCTATCTGTGGGTTCACACCCCAAATGCCTGCAATGGCCGGAGCCTAAGCCAGGAGCCAGAAACTCAATCCAGGTCTCCCCTAGAATCCAATTACTTGAGCCATCACCCCTGCCCCCAGTGCCTGCATTAGCAGGAAGCTGCAGTTAGGAGCCAGGCCAGGTACTCTGATGTGGAACGTGGACATCTTACAGGTGTCTTAACCCCTAGGCCAACGCTCACCCTAGGAAGGTCTTTTTAACTGTGTGGTGCATACAGCAGGAGAAAGGAAGGTGTTGAGCTCGCCAGCCCCAGTCATGTGTAAGTGCAGGGCTCCATTCTGGTTGGGTTTGCTGTTCTGTCTCTGTGTCACGTTGCAGGGTGCAGCCGATGTACTCTTGCCATCCTGCCCAGCCCTGCAGGCAGGTACTGTCACTTTTACAGATCAGGAAACTGAAGCTTGGCAGAGTGTGAGGTGTCTTTTTTTAAGGGTGTGCCCCCATGTCCTACTCATCTGCTCTAGGGATTCTGGCTGAGCACCTGCTATGTGCCAAGCACGCTTCTAGGGATGCAGTCCCAGTTGTTGCCTCCTTGGGGAGAAATCCGGAGTGCTAGCTGCAGCGATGGAAGCGCCCAAGTGTCCTTTGGGACAGAGCAAGGAGAGGCATCTAAATCAGACAGTGATGGGGCAAGCAGCTCTGGGGAGAGCGGGCCGCGGCTGCCTTTTGGGAGACCTGGGAGAGGGTGGGTGTGGTCATGCATGGACTGAAGCTCTTAGGGGACAGGCTCAAGCCCAGTGTGACTTTGCTGTCCACTGAGCCTCCCTGGCCTCAGGACTGCAGATAAAGGGAGGCGGAGGCCTGCCTGGTATTCCAGGCAACGTCCCAGCTCCCTGTGCAGCTGGCGGTAGGAGGGGCTTAGTGTGTGGTAAGGGGGCAGCCGAGGTTCTGGAGGAAGCTGATTCGTGTCCCCCGGGAGAGGAGCGTGGAGATACCGTCTTGAAGGTTGAAAACAAGCTGTAAATCTGCGGGGCCCTGGAATTCAGACAGGGCCGGGAGTGGATGAGCCCGGCCATCGTTGTCCTTCTTGGGGGCGGCCTCATGCCCCTGAACACTTCCCGCCCCTGAGGTCTCACCCTGCCCAGGGCTCCGTGCACACCCCGGGGGCTCTGACAACGCCCTCTCCACCTGGGTTCTAACTTGCTTCCTAAAATCAGTGTATCCCATGTGTGGATTCAGTCAGAGACAGGAAGCTGAGAGATGGCCCCGAGTCCCCAGACACAAGCCCTGTGCCTGGTGGGGTCTGAGCAAGGAGACGGGGGACAAGAGATGGTGGGAGGGGTCCTCCTTGAGACAGACAGCTGGTGGGTGGCAAGTCCCCCCTCTGCCCCCCCCACCTGCCAGGTGTCTGCCTCGGCTGGAGGGACACGCTGAAACGGCCCATGGAGGTGCTGGGGGGGGGGGTCAGTCGTGGCAGTGGCCTTGGGGTGGCAGGAGAGAGGTAGCTGTGAAGCCCCTGGACTAACACATTTGTGTCCCCACATGTATTAATCTGGGCCTGAGATGAGCCCCCCGGGAAAGCGCTTAGGAAGCTTGAGACCCCTCATCTTACATCTGGGCCTCGGAAGCGGGAGGGAAGAAGGTGGCTGACCCAAGGTGGTGTGCAGAGGACCCGACCTGGAACCCGGACTCTGGCGCCCTGTCCCCCTGTCGTACCCGTAGTCTGTCT